TACACAGTATAGCTGCAAGCATACAGTCACCATGCGAAATCCACAATAGAACCTGCAAACATATATTTGCAAAAGTCATAACACTATGGAGCGCATGTAAATTTGCTATGCTGCAACAAATCAACGCCAAGATGGCTGTTGGAGGAGGTGCTAGAGCAGCTGCTTTCATACCAGATATTACGTCATGACAATTTGGGGAAGGGACGTTTGCACACACATAGAAGTGGTAGTGGGGAGTGTTAGTGGATGGGAGTGTAGTTAGGAGGGTTTGTGGTCTATTTTTTAGATTTTTTGTGAATTCTTCTTTTGGGGAATTCCAGACACACATCTGGACATGGCGAGATCACTGTTCTCCACCAAGGAGCTGATCCTCATTTGCTGGGGAAACATTACTAATAATTGTATTTTCAGTTGAAAACATGTCCAATTCCTAGATCCATTTGCGGTATATAGCAGACGTTCAAGGTTCTTCCTAACTATTATACAGGTGGCACAGACACAAGCATACACCAGGGCCTCTGTTAGATATCACGGGGCCCCGTACAGCATACCTGACAGCCCCCCACCGCCAGAGAGAAAAATATCCAAATTATATTTATGGTAAAAATACACCTAAAAACATTATTAATGGACATAATCCCAACCATATTCCTGTGGATAATCTAAATGATAAAGCTGTACTGAGTTCATAAATAATAGCTGTGTGTGTAATTTGAGGTGTAATTGAGGTTTTGGGGCCTCATGGGTGCTGTGGCCTGTAGAGTGGGAAACAGTGGTTTGTTTTTGTGGCTATCGCCGGTTTGCAGGTAAACCTATGTTTACACTATGAAAATGCTGCAGGTCATAAGTTGACAAGCATTTTATGGGTGCAGGTGCACAGTCCTGAACACAGACAGTGAGCATTCAGGGCCACTTCCCCACGCCTTCACACCCTGTCAGATTAAAACCTGTGTTCATACAGCTGCTGTGTCCCCATAGTGTAACAGGTGTCGTCCAGCCACATGAACAACCCCCTCAATTCATGCTGTACAGGCCAGAGGGACTTTGTGTGATTGGGGATTTTTTTACTTTTTTTTTTCCTCAGCTCATTAATTTTAATTGGGCTGCCTAACGTGTGGGACATGCAAAAATACTGCAGGCATATTATTTTAAAAGTGTGTTGCACCTAACTGCACAGTAGTGTGGTAGCCATTGCGTTTTGGTGGCTGTGAATGCCTCTGTGTTTACTAGACACTGTGGAGGTGCAATTAAGTTTTCACCATGGTACCTCGCGCACATCTGCAGAGGGCATTAGGCATTTCTTTGCTGTGCTGGAAAAAAACATGCTCTTGCATGCGTTTCTGCACCACAAATGGTGTGGAAACAAGTCCTAAGGGTCAGTTCACACTATAGAAACAGTCTAGATGTGTTCCAGATGTTTTTTGCATGCACTTTTTTGATGCATGTTTGGCGTGTTTCAGTGCATTTTGGATGCGTTTTTGACGTTTTGTTCCAGTGCATTTTTTTATGCATTCCAGTTAATTTTTTCCCCTCTCTTTTACTTAAATTTAATTAGGGACATGTGCATTTTAGTGCGTTCCAGGGCGTTTTACCGCGTTCCAGTACAGTTCTATGCATAAACAATACAGCCTGTTCACCTTTTTTGACAGCACCTGCAATGCACTGGAACTGCAAGCACTGATGTGAACTATGACATTGACAACCATATAACCTTCTTTCTGTGCATTTTGGATGCAAAAAAAGCAACTGAAACACATCATTGTAGTGTGAACTGGCCCTAAAGGTTATTATAGGTCAGGGAACGGGACTGACCAGGAATTGTGAATTCAATCAGATTAGTGGTGAGATACAATCAGGAATCCTATATATAATGCGAGATCTGAGCTGAAGGTGATAGGAAATGAGACAGATTAACTTGATCAGTAAATAAATAGTTAATATAAAAAGAGTGGGGCGGGGATACAATAGATTGGCAGATGGAACAGGTGATGGTGGGGGAGGGGGTCAAGTTGTATAAGGAGAGAGGTTTAAGCGCTCGTTCACACTTGACTTTATTTCTAACTCTTGCCAAATGGCCCTATAGTGTTTGACAGGTGTTTGGGAAGCGTTTTTAATGCTCCTCAAATGCTCCCAAAATGCCCTATGTACGGTTTTGGGGCATGTGATAAGCATTTACCAAGTGTTTAAACTGCACCACAAATGCCTGTAATGAAGTTAAAGAGTATTAACGCTCCGAAAATGCCTTGCAACCACACCGCAAACGTCTGCCAGGCATTTGCGGAGCGGCACCATAGACTTGAATGGGAGGCTTCAACTCCTCCTGACTGGACATGAGGTGCCAGTTTTGCCGTGACGCAGCGCTATGTGCTGCCATGTGCAGAATTTTCATAGGCATTTGAGAAGCGTAAAAAAACACTTCCCAAACGCCTGTCTGACGCCTGCTGACAAAGCTAGTGTGAACGTAGCCTTAGAGAAGATAAAGTTGTAATGAAATATAAACAGAAGGAAAATTGAAAGTTTCAAAATTGTCAGAAGAACAGGACACGGACGATTTTGACTATCGCCCTATTTTCCTGGCAATGATGGGCAAATCGGCCGATCGTTTTACCGATAAAAATATGCGCATGAGCCGTGTCCTGCAAGAAGAAGAAAAAAGAAGAAGAAGAATTCCAGTCCGCTATTATATTTTACATGAAAAGTCTTGCGGTTGCAACAATGTATCTATTTGTATCCGAATAAAAACATCTGTATCCGAAATGGATACAAATGGATACATTGTTGCAACCTCAAGACTTTTCATGTAAAATATAATAGCGGAGCTCTCTGCAAGGGACAGAAGTAAAAATGCCAGCCGTAGACGGGACGTAAATCGGCCAATTTTTTTATTGAACGATGGATTTTTCGTTTAAAAAAATGGCTGGTTTTTGACCCATCAATGGCCTGCATAAGACCAGAAACTCAGACATATACCAGGCCCAATTAACCTAACAGCATGTCTTTGGAGTGTTGGCAGGAACACACCGTGCAGAGAAAACATGCAAACTTAGATGCAGACAGGTGCAGCCATGACTGGGATTAGAACCCATGACCCATGTGCTGTAAGTTCTGAGTTCTAACCCCTTAGCCACTGAGGGAGACAGAGTTTGAGCTGCAATGTAGAATAGTTACATTGTTTTAAAAATAATGATAAAGCATACGCTGGTAAAATTTATATAGACTACTAAAATGGTATTACACAAGATAAATATAAATATAGGTATAGATATGAAGGTAGCAGCTAGCACTCAGGGTATTGGCAACAGTCCCAGAATAGAAATAAGTTACAGTAATAGTGTAGCGCTATAAATGCATGTTATCAATCACAAACGCATGTAAAATAAAAAAAAGTGCAAATAAGTGCAATAATTATGTAAACTGGTAAATGGTGCTAAAAAAGTTTATATAATCATTCCTAAATATTGGAATGTCCTTCGTGTCAGAGTACCAAATCAGAATGTGCCTCTGAATGGCACGTGTCGTACTTATTTGCACGTTTTTGATTTTACGATTTTATGATTGATAACATGCATTTATAGCGCTGCACTATTACTTTAACATAGAATAGTTACATGATTAAAGAGAAGGAAGATATATAATTATATTGGGAAATTAGAACTAGACATTCCCAATTATTTGAGATATAAGTGTGAAAATGTTTGACATTTGAAAATAGAATGTATGACATTCATTAGGAAATGCATTAGTTGTCTGATCATTTTGGAGAAACAGCAACCAAAAAAAAAAAATATATATATATATATAGGTGTACTTTTACTTTAAATTATAAGTATTCTCATATGCAAACAGAAAAACGCCAACAAAGCCTGTGGTTGTGCGCCACCTAACGAACATATTTGCTAGAGATGAGCGAAGTATTCAAAAATTCGATTCGACTGATTCGGCGAATTCGTGAAAAAATTTTGATTCGAGTCGAATATATTCGCTGTGAATTTAACTTAAAAAAGGGTGTTTCTAGGCTTCAGAGAGACTTAATATTAGTGCAGAACACTGTACCTTTAATTTAAATGCCCTTGGAGTCTGCTGGGGAAGAGAAATAATACTGTCAGTCAGTATGACATGCAGATGAGTGCCGTCGATCTTAGAATCACCGCACACTTCACTCATTTGGGCAGTCACGGGGCTAAAACCAGAGTGGGGAGCCACAGTGTGGCGGTGGAGGCAGCAGCAATGGGAGGCCATACAGCACCCTATGACAAAAATGGAAACCACCAGCAGCGTGAGGAGACCTGAAAGTGGCACATGGCAGAGTGTGGCGATAGAGACAGCAGCAATGGGAGGCCGTACAGGGACCCATGACACACTCTGGACCTGGCAGCAGCATGAGGAGGCGGTACAGGGGCCCATGACAGATTACGGGCCTGGCAGCAGCATGAGGAGTCGGTACGGGGGCCCATGGCAGATTACGGGCCTGGCAGCAGCAATGGGAGGCCGTACAGGGACCCATGACACACTCTGGACCTGCCAGCAGCATGGGGGGAGGCGGTACAGGGGCCCATGACAGATTACGGGCCTGGCAGCAGCAGCATGAGGAGTCGGTACGGGGGCCCATGACACACTCTGGACCTGGCAGCAGCATGAGGAGGTGGTACAGGGGGCGCATGACAGATTACGAGCCTGGCAGCAGCAAACTTGGACAGGGAGGACGTTCAGCTTCTGCACCGTCGGGTGCGTGCTCGCAAAACTGTTGTCTCTTGGAAACGGATTCCAAGAAAGACTGCTGACGGAATCCGTGAAGAGGAGTAGCAGCAGGAGAAGCAGGAGAAGGAGCATCTGAACGAGCGGAATATGCCAACAAGCGACAACAGGGGCCCATGACAGATTACGGGCCTGGCAGCAGCATGATGAGGAGTCGGTACGGGGGGCCCATGGCAGATTAGGGGCTGGCAGCAGCTATGGGAGGCCCGTAATCTGCCAGCACCCTATGACAAAAAATGGAACCCACCAGCAGTGTGAGGAGACCTGAAAGTGGCACATGGCAGAGTGTGGCGATGGAGACAAGCAGCAATGGGAGGCCGTACAGGGACCCATGAGAGACTCTGGACTTGGCAGCAGCATGAGGAGGCGGTATAGGGGCCCATGGCAGATTAGGGGCCTGGCAGCAGCTATGGGAGGCCCGTAATCTGCCAGCACCCTATGACAAAAAATGGAACACACCAGCAGTGTGAGGAGACCTGAAAGTGGCACATGTTTGGGGCATGATTCATGGCGGATTTAGTCAGTTGTGTCAGGAACTGGTGGTTTGAAATCCAGACTAATCCACGCCTGATTCATTTTCACAAACGTGAGTCTCTCCACACAGGGTGGACAGTCGTGTCCTCCGCGGAGTTGCAATACCTCCTGCCGCACTAAACACGCGCTCCGATGCCACGCTACTGGCCGGGCATGACAGCCTTTCAAGGGCAAATTCAGCTAGTTGGGGCCAAAGGTCAAGTTTCGTTGCCCAGTAGTCAAGGGGATTGTCTACCTCGGTTTGGCAGGGTGCTGTCCAAGTAGGCCTATTAGCCTGTTGTTTGAGGTCCTGCTCCAGGTCCACCTGATGCTGCTGCTGCTGCTGCTGCTGCTGCTGCTGCGGCTGGTTAGTAGTTTCCTCACTGCTGGTGAAGAAAGCTACTCATCATCGACTGCAGACTGAGGCAGCGCTGCTGGTGGAGCTGCCACTGCTCCTACCACCCCACCCCCCCTGCTGCCATGGCAGCGGAACGCGAGCGCACAGGGCCCACAGTGTCTGAGGATGGACGTTGGCGCACCGTGGACAGGCAGAGACCAGCTGACTACATAGGTGGTTTTTATAGTACGTTATTTTGGCCTCCCTCTCAGCAAGGTGTGAAAAAAGGCTACCATTTTTGAACGGTAGCGAGGGTCCAACAAGGTGGACAGCCAAAAGTCATCCCTCTGTCTGATGGTTATTATTCGGCTGTCGCTACGCAAGCAATGCGAGCATGCGAGCATGGGCCATTTGTGCCAAGGAATGCGAGGGACTCCCTGCCTCCATCTCCACAGCATACTGCCACGGTGCGTCTGGGTCCTCTGTCTCCTCTTCCTCCTCCTCTACCAGATGCTCCTGCTCCTCCACTCCTGTCCGCTGAGTGGAAAAAACCACCCATTTCACTCAATAATTCCTGAGCACCAATGTCCTCCTCTACCTCCTCCTCTTCTTCCTGTCCTGCCCCCACAGGGGTCATGTGGCGTTGAGATCTGTGCGCCACGTCTACCGCCACCCTGACCAGCCATTGTTAACAGCATTTGTTCCAGGACGTGCAACAGAGGAATGACGTCGTTCATCCCATAGTCCTGCCGACTCACGAATAGCGTGGCCTCCTCAAAGGGCCTGAGCAAGCGCAGGTGTCACACATGAGCTGCCAATGGCTGACATCTAAGTTACACACAGGGAGTACCTTTATCCGCTTTTAACATCAGGAAATCTGTGATGGCCTTTTGCTGTTCGAAAGGCGGTCAAACATATGTAGGGTTGAATTCCACCTTGTTGCAACGTCACAGCATGAGGAGTCGGTATAGGGGCCCATGGCAGATTAGGGGCCTGGCAGCAGCTATGGGAGGCCCCGTAATCTGCCAGCACCCTATGTCAAAAAATTCAACACACCAGCAGTGTGTGAGGAGACCTGAAAGTGGCACATGGCAGAGTGTGGCGATGGAGACAGCAGCAATGGGAGGCCGTACAGGGACCCATGAGAGACTCTGGACTTGGCAGCAGCATGAGGAGGAGGGTATATAGGGGCCTATGGCAGATTAGGGGCCTGGCAGCAGCTATGGGAGGCCCGTAATCTGCCAGCACCCTATGTCAAAAAAAATTCAACACACCAGCAGTGTGTGAGGAGACCTGAAAGTGGCACATGGCAGAGTGTGGCGATGGAGACAGCAGCAATGGGAGGCCGTACAGGGACCCATGAGAGACTCTGGACTTGGCAGCAGCATGAGGCGGCGGTATATAGGGGCCTATGGCAGATTAGGGGCCTGGCAGCAGCTATAGGAGGCCCGTAATCTGCCAGCACCCTATGTCAAAAAATTCAACACACCAGCAGTGTGTGACCTGGAGACCTGAAAGTGGCACATGGCAGAGTGTGGCGATGGAGACAGCAGCAATGGGAGGCCGTACAGGGACCCATGACAGACTCTGGACTTGGCAGCAGCATGAGGAGGCGGTATATAGGGGCCCATGGCAGATTAGGGGCCTGGCAGCAGCTATGGGAGGCCCGTAATCTGCCAGCACCCTATGTCAAAAAATTCAACACACCAGCAGTGTGTGAGGAGACCTGAAAGTGGCACATGGCAGAGAGTGTGGCGATGGAGACAGCAGCAATGGGAGGCCGTACAGGGACCCATGACAGACTCTGGACTTGGGCAGCAGCATGAGGAGGCGGTATATAGGGGCCTATGGCAGATTAGGGGCCTGGCAGCAGCTATGGGAGGCCCGTAATCTGCCAGCACCCTATGTCAAAAAATTCTAACACACCAGCAGTGTGTGAGGAGACCTGAAAGTGGCACATGGCAGAGTGTGGCGATGGAGACAGCAGCAATGGGAGGCCGTACAGGGACCCATGACAGACTCTGGACTTGGCAGCAGCATGAGGAGGCGGTATATAGGGGCCCATGGCAGATTAGGGGCCTGGCAGCAGCTATGGGAGGCCCGTAATCTGCCAGCACCCTATGTCAAAAAATTCAACACACCAGCAGTGTGTGAGAGAGACCTGAAAGTGGCACATGGCAGAGTGTGTGGCGATGGAGACAGCAGCAATGGGAGGCCGTACAGGGACCCATGACAGACTCTGGACTGGCAGCAGCAGCATGAGGAGGCGGTATATAGGGGCCCATGGCAGATTAGGGGCCTGGCAGCAGCTATGGGAGGCCCGTAATCTGCCAGCACCCTATGTCAAAAAATTGAACACACCAGCAGTGTGTGAGGAGACCTGAAAGTGGCACATGGCAGAGTGTGGCGATGGAGACAGCAGCAATGGGAGGCCGTACAGGGACCCATGACAGACTCTGGACTTGGCAGCAGCAGCAGCATGAGGAGGCGGTATATAGGGGCCCATGGCAGATTAGGGGCCTGGCAGCAGCTATGGGAGCCCGTAATCTGCCAGCACCCTATGTCAAAAAATTGAACACACCAGCAGTGTGTGAGGAGACCTGAAAGTGGCACATGGCAGAGTGTGGCGATGGAGACAGCAGCAATGGGAGGCCGTACAGGGACCCATGACAGACTCTGGACCTGGCAGCAGCATGAGGAGGGCGGTATATAGGGGCCCATGGCAGATTAGGGGCCTGGCAGCAGCTATGGGAGGCCCGTAATCTGCCAGCACCCTATGTCAAAAAATTCAACACCACCAGCAGTGTGTGAGGAGACCTGAAAGTGGCACATGGCAGAGTGTGGCGATGGAGACAGCGCAATGGGAGGCCGTACAGGGACCCATGACAGACTCTGGACTTGGCAGCAGCATGAGGAGGCGGTATATAGGGGCCCATGGCAGATTAGGGGCCTGGCAGCAGCTATGGGAGGCCCGTAATCTGCCAGCACCCTATGTCAAAAAATTTAAACACACCAGCAGTGTGTGAGGAGACCTGAAAGTGGCACATGGCAGAGTGTGGCGATGGAGACAGCAGCAATGGGAGGCCGTACAGGGACCCATGACAGACTCTGGACCTGGCAGCAGCATGAGGAGGCGGTATATAGGGGCCCATGGCAGATTAGGGGCCTGGCAGCAGCTATGGGAGGCCCGTAATCTGCCAGCACCCTATGTCAAAAAATTCAAACACACCAGCAGTGTGTGAGGAGACCTGAAAGTGGCACATGGGCAGAGTGTGGCGATGGAGACAGCAGCAATGGGAGGCAATGGGAGGCCGTACAGGGACCCATGACAGACTCTGGACTTGGCAGCAGCATGAGGAGGCGGTATATAGGGGCCCATGGCAGATTAGGGGCCTGGCAGCAGCTATGGGAGGCCCGTAATCTGCCAGCACCCTATGTCAAAAAATTTAAACACACCAGCAGTGTGTGAGGAGACCTGAAAGTGGCACATGGCAGAGTGTGGCGATGGAGACAGCAGCAATGGGAGGCCGTACAGGGACCCATGAGAGACTCTGGACCTGGCAGCAGCATGAGGAGGCGGTATATAGGGGCCCATGGCAGATTAGGGGCCTGGCAGCAGCTATGGGAGGCCCGTAATCTGCCAGCACCCTATGTCAAAAAATGAAACACACCAGCAGTGTGAGGAGACCTGAAAGTGGCACATGGCAGCAGAGTGTGGCGATGGAGACAGCAGCAATGGGGAGGCCGTACAGGGACCCATGACAGACTCTGGACTTGGCAGCAGCATGAGGAGGCTGGTATATAGGGGCCCATGGCAGATTAGGGGCCTGGCAGCAGCTATGGGAGGCCCGTAATCTGCCAGCACCCTATGTCAAAAAAATTGAACACACCAGCAGTGTGTGAGGAGACCTGAAAGTGGCACATGGCAGAGTGTGGCGATGGAGGACAGCAGCAATGGGAGGCCGTACAGGGACCCATGAGAGACTCTGGACTTGGCAGCAGCATGAGGAGGCGGTATATAGGGGCCCATGGCAGATTAGGGGCCTGGCAGCAGCTATGGGGAGGCCCGTAATCTGCCAGCACCCTATGTCAAAAAATTTGAACACACCAGCAGTGTGTGAGGAGACCTGAAAGTGGCACATGGCAGAGTGTGGCGATGGAGAGACAGCAGCAATGGGAGGCCGTACAGGGACCCATGACAGACTCTGGACTTGGCAGCAGCATGAGGAGGCGGTATATAGGGGCCCATGGCAGATTAGGGGCCTGGCAGCAGCTATGGGAGGCCCGTAATCTGCCAGCACCCTATGTCAAAAAAATTCAAACACACCAGCAGTGTGAGGAGACCTGAAAGTGGCACATGGCAGAGTGTGGCGATGGAGACAGCAGCAATGGGAGGCCGTACAGGGACCCATGACAGACTCTGGACTTGGCAGCAGCATGAGGAGGCGGTATATAGGGGCCCATGGCAGATTAGGGGCCTGGCAGCAGCTATGGGAGGCCCGTAATCTGCCAGCACCCTATGTCAAAAAATTCAACACACCAGCAGTGTGTGAGGAGACCTGAAAGTGGCACATGGCAGAGTGTGGCGATGGAGACAGCAGCAATGGGAGCCGTGAGGCCGTACAGGGACCCATGAGAGACTCTGGACCTTGGGCAGCAGCATGAGGAGGCGGTATATAGGGGCCCATGGCAGATTAGGGGCCTGGCAGCAGCTATAGGAGGCCCGTAATCTGCCAGCACCCTATGTCAAAAAATTCAACACACCAGCAGTGTGTGAGGAGACCTGAAAGTGGCACATGGCAGAGTGTGGCGATGGAGACAGCAGCAATGGGAGGCCGTACAGGGACCCATGAGAGACTCTGGACTTGGCAGCAGCATGAGGAGGCGGTATATAGGGGCCCATGGCAGATTAGGGGCCTGGCAGCAGCTATGGGAGGCCCGTAATCTGCCAGCACCCTATGTCAAAAAATTTGAACACACCAGCAGTGTGTGAGGAGACCTGAAAGTGGCACATGGCAGAGTGTGGCGATGGAGACAGCAGCAATGGGAGGCCGTACAGGGACCCATGAGAGACTCTGGACTTGGCAGCAGCATGAGGAGGCGGTATATAGGGGCCCATGGCAGATTAGGGGCCTGGCAGCAGCTATGGGAGGCCCGTAATCTGCCAGCACCCTATGTCAAAAAATTGAACACACCAGCAGTGTGAGGAGACCTGAAAGTGGCACATGGCAGAGTGTGGCGATGGAGACAGCAGCAATGGGAGGCCGTACAGGGACCCATGACAGACTCTGGACCTGGCAGCAGCATGAGGAGGCGGTATATAGGGGCCTATGGCAGATTAGGGGCCTGGCAGCAGCTATATGGGAGGCCCGTAATCTGCCAGCACCCTATGTCAAAAAATTGAACACACCAGCAGTGTGTGAGGAGACCTGAAAGTGGCACATGGCAGAGTGTGGCGATGGAGACAGCAGCAATGGGAGGCCGTACAGGGACCCATGACAGACTCTGGACCTGGCAGCAGCATGAGGAGGCGGTATATAGGGGCCATGGCAGTTTAGGGGCCTGGCAGCAGCTATGGGAGGCCCGTAATCTGCCAGCACCCTATGTCAAAAAATTGAACACACCAGCAGTGTGTGAGGAGACCTGAAAGTGGCACATGGCAGAGTGTGGCGATGGAGACAGCAGCAATGGGAGGCCGTACAGGGACCCATGACAGACTCTGGACCTTGGCAGCAGCATGAGGAGGGCGGTATTATAGGGGCCCATGGCAGATTAGGGGCCTGGCAGCAGCTATGGGAGGCCCGTAATCTGCCAGCACCCTATGTCAAAAAATTGAACACACCAGCAGTGTGTGAGGAGACCTGAAAGTGGCACATGGCAGAGTGTGGCGATGGAGACAGCAGCAATGGGAGGCCGTACAGGGACCCATGACAGACTCTGGACCTGGCCAGCAGCATGAGGAGGCGGTATTATAGGGGCCCATGGCTGATTAGGGGCCTGGCAGCAGCTATGGGAGGCCCGTAATCTGCCAGCACCCTATGTCAAAAAAATTCAACAACACCAGCAGTGTGTGAGGAGACCTGAAAGTGGCACATGGCAGGAGTGTGGCGATGGAGACAGCAGCAATGGGGGACCGTACAGGGACCCCATGAGAGACTCTGGACCTGGCAGCAGCATGAGGAGGCGGTATATAGGGGCCTATGGCAGATTAGGGGCCTGGCAGCAGCTATAGGAGGCCCGTAATCTGCCAGCACCCTATGTCAAAAAATTCAACACACCAGCAGTGTGAGGAGACCTGAAAGTGGCACATGGCAGAGCTGTGGCGATGGAGACAGCAAGCAATGGGAGGCCGTACAGGGACTCCATGACAGACTTCTGGACCTGGCAGCAGCATGAGGAGGCGGTAGGTATATAGGGGCCCATGGCAGATTACGGGGCCGGGGGGCAGCAGCTATGGAGGCCCGTTAATCTGCCAGCACCCAATGTCAAAAAATTTAAACACACCAGCAGTGTGTGAGGAGACCTGAAAAGTGGCACATGGCCTGGCAGAGTGTGGCGATGGAGACAGCCAGCAAAGTGGGATGGACGTACAGGACCCCATGACACGACTCTGGACTTGGCAGCAGCACTGAGGAAGGCGGTATATAGGGGCCCAATAGGCTAAGATTAAGGGACTGGCCGAGCAACGTCTAATCGGGACGGCCCGTAATCGGAGGCGGGGAAAGGGGCCATGGCAGATTTGGGGGTGGCAGCAGTATTTTGGGGGCCCCTAATCGCCCGACCTATGTCAAAAAATTAACACACCAGCAGTGGGGGGGGACCTGA